CGGACATTACTGCCGAGGGTCTTAATGCTCTAAGCATGAGCGTGAATCAGGAAGATTTACCACCCCCATCTCCCCACTTTGGATCCACAGCCATAGAAATCGCACTTAAAGAAATGCTTGCCAGCAAAGACGAAGTGCTTGATGAAATAGATAAAGAAATAAAATCCAACGATAGAAAAGTAATCGATTTGGACGAAATAAAGGCTCAAGAAGCAGAATTGGTAGAAGAAGAAAAAACTAGCAAGCGAAGACTAGCCAACCGCAAGCAAAAATTAACTGCTAGAAACAATAAAATAAAAAAATTTAAAGAGGAGATTGAAGATTTGAAAAAGAAAGACGAGGAGAGACGGGCAGAATTTTATAGAAGCGTAAGTCCGGAACGTCGGGGTAAAGATAGTGCTCATTTAAATCAGCCAAATCCAGAAATTAAAAAACGAGAAAAAGCGTTGAAAAGATTAATTGAGGGAGATGAAAAAAATCTAGGGCAAAAAGAACTTGATAACCGAGTGAAAGAATTAGAAGATAGAGCGAGGGAACTTAACAATCTACTAAAAGACCTTGAAAATCTGAAAAATAATATCGGTCAAATTCAACAAGGTGATAAAGACGATTTATTTGGGCAAATATCCAAAGTTATTCGAAACAAAACACGATTGTCAGATACAGATGATACAGATGATACAGATGATACAGATGATACAGATGATACAGATGATACAGATGATACAGATGATACAGATATTCGAAAAGTTGTCACAATTTCCAAGGAGGAGTTAAAATCCGCTAAAAAAGCCTTACTTGACAAAATTAATAAATTAAAAAACCAAGGCAGTGTTTCTTTTGAGGATGACATTAAAGAATTGTATGATTTATGCGAGGAATATAAGGCAAAAGCCGAAGCGGCCGGAAAAAATGAAGCCAAATATAACGCTTACATAAACAAGTTGCTAGAAAAAGTAAAGAAAAAAGACAATCTAGCGGAGGTCATAAACAAATACTTTGCTAAATGAGAAGCCGCCGAACAAGCAAAATTACGAATAGAAAAGGGGATTTTAGAGCGAAAAATTAAAGATTTAGAAATAGAAAAAAAAGAATTAGAAGCAAAATTAGTTGCGGTGGAAAAAAAGCACCCTAGTGTAAAAGATACGCTACAAAAACTACACAAACGAATGGACAGTGTTTCCTCTGACATTTCTGTCGATTCATCAGCATCGGGCTGAACCACACCAGTTTTCGGCAACAGTAGACCAAACACTCCTCTAGACAGCCCGAAAGGTAGTCCGACCGAAAAAGATCCGATGATGAAAATGATAGACGATGATTTGCAAAAATTCAGAATAGAATATGAGGAGAAAATGGCTCGGCAGAGAGAAGAAAACCAAAAAGAAGTGGACGGATTAAAACAACAATTAGCGGAAGCAAACGCCCAAAAGGCGGAGTTAGAAAAACAATTAGCCGCTAAAAACAAACCTGAACCAGAAAAAGGAGAAAAATGTAATATTTTAAATCATGCGTCTTTAGAAAATCACATTAAGGACTTAAAAAAGGAAATAGAAAAAAAAGAAGAACTAATCGATGAATTGTTAGCACGAGATATTGATAAAGGCTGATTGACCGACGATAATATCGCATATATTCTCAAAAATAGTAATATTGTTAAAAGGTGGCTCAAAATACGAAATGAATCATGAGGCAAAAAGGAGAGGAATTGAGAAGTCCGCACCGATTTAGCCAACATTTACAATGCTTTTCACAAAAGTAAAACCAACCAAGAATGGGATTTGGTGGAATTTTTGAAAGAAATGGAGTTAGACAAGCACAAAAACACTATTTTTCCGGTGCGAGTTTCCGGAAATCATTGAGGCCTTTTTGTGATAGAAGAGGATGAAAAAAAAGTAGTTGGTAGTGGTGGAAATTTGGAATTAAAACCAGAAACCAAAGTTTATTATACTTCGTCGGGTGCGGAAGTAAAAAATGAAGTCAAACAAATTAAACCGCTAATCGAGCAGATAGTAGGAGAAAAAGCAGCCAAAAATATTCAAATAATTGAGGGTCCAAAACAAAAAAATGGTTATGATTGTGGAGTTTATCTGATAAAATACATTGAGGAATTGTTAAGAGTTGGCAGATTAGAATTAAATAAAGTAGGTAATTTTGCAGGCAAAGGAATTACTAATCAAGATTGTCAAATATTCCGACAAAAATGAAAAACCGAAATTGGAGCAGATAAATGGTGTAAATGGGATGCAATTTCAGAGGGAAATATTAAAGGCAACGACCAAGCGGAAAGTGAAAAAGTTGACAGCCAAAAACGGGAGACCGAACAAATATCCACCGATACCGAATGTAGCAAAACACTGCTAGTTTCTCCAACGAAAGAAATAACTACAAAGGAAACTCAAAATGATAACGCTCTGACTGACGCCCAAAAAACTATTGAGGAATTAAAATGATTAGTTGTCATAATACTTGTTCCTTATCCTTTATATTACGTTTTTTTGCGTTATTAGTTGTATAGTGCTTATG